AAAAAAAAAAAAGCTTTCATTGCAAAGAGCAAGTTTTTCTAGGAATCTTTAAAATTCAGTGAGCAGTTGTTGTTCCTTCAGGCTTTTGCTTCTCTCAGTCCTGTTAGTTTAATTTAAAATACACAAAATAAATTTTAAGGCTTAATTAAAACTCTCCAGCAGATGAACCATGTCTTAAAATCAGTACATTTTAGAGATTCAGCTAAAAAAATAAGAAATAATTGTCTTTGTGACAAGCTGCTAACAACCAAGACAAAAACAAAATCCCAAATAATATGGATTCTTTGTTGATTTGTGTGTCTGAATGATTCATTAGGCAGAGTTAAATGTCTCACACAAACAGAAACTTTGACAAACAATCTGGAACAAGTAAAAAAAAATGGCTCCTTCTGCTCATCAGCTCCCCCCGTGGAAGACATGAAGAACAAAGGTTCAGCAAAACTTCACACATTTCTAAAAGTTACAGCTGGCTCTGTCCTCTTCTTGTAGATCATTTTCAGGTTCTTAAACCAGTCCAGTCTACAGTCCACCATGTCCACATTGACCTTAGGAACCATTAGAGCCCTAGTCTTCTGGTACACCACGTCTTTTGTCTTCGTAGATGGTCATTCCCACTCCAAGTGGTCCTCTGGTGACACGATGTCGCTTACACAACCGTCTGCCAATCCATAATCCAAGACCCCAGTGGGGAATCCACCWGTATCACTGTCAGCATCAAAAAGACCTTCAAAGCATCTGGAGAACCTAAAAAAAAATCAAGACAGCTTTGAATGATTCCAAAAATTTTTTGTTTTAAACAAGAAATATAAAGAAATCAGAGGGAAATGATGACTTTTCCACCAATAATCTGTATTTAAGAATACTTTTTATTCCATAAGGTGGACACGGTCATCACGGACACGGTCATCATGGACACGGTCATCATGGTCATCATGGTCATCATGGTCATCATGGACATCATGGACATTGTCGTCATGGATATGAGTATGGACGTTGTCACCATGGCTGTGTATATGGTGGACACTCACACGGGCTCCACCACAGGCTGAGACACAAGCACAGGGGTGGTCACAGACACCTCAGTTGTCACAAGAAGGGGAGGCACTGTCGCGGGGTAAGACTCACACTTGCAGATGATTTCGGCTGATTTTACAGCTAAATGTCTCAGATGTAGTTGATGCAGAAAACAGGCAGTTCTATTGAGCTGTGTTTACAGAGGGAGGAGCAAATGTTGTTTCTAATCTGAATAACTGATTTTTGTCTCCTGCAGTACGAAAGCAGCTCCTGCAGCAGCGACTCTGATTAGAAGAAGCCTGAGAAGCAGCTTCATCTCTTCTTTTACAATAATTTAACTAATTTAACTGTAATCAAATTTGGTGTCTTTGGTTTTAGGGAGTTTTTATCTGCCTATAAAACAGAACGAAGTAATACTTTCTGTGTGGCCTTTTAATAAAACCTGAAACAATAAAAATCTGAGTGAAAGCATAATTACAGCCTCGATCATTTTTATTACTTTTTTTTATTTTCATGAACTATTATTCAGATATATGATCAGATTAAGACAAACCTAAAAGTAGCAGAATGGTGGCTAAAAGCTAAGAGTAGCAAAACTGGTTTGAAACTAAAAGTTGCAAAGTAGCTAAAGGCTAAAATCAGTAAAAGGGTATTTAAGAACATGAAGTGGCCAAAGGCTGGCTAAAAATAACAAAACAAACTTAAAATAACAAAATAAAAGCTTAAGCTAAGTGTAGCAAGATGGTAGCTAACATGTAAAAAAAAAAGCATCAGAATGCTACCTAACAGCTAAAAGTAGCAATATCTTGTTTAAAATAAATGCCTGGTTAGGATGCCTCCCTGGTGAGGTGTTCCGGGTACTGCTGCCCCCGCAACCCGACCCCGGAAGAGGAAAAAGATGGATGGATGGATAAAGACAAGCTAAAAAACAAAAGTAGCTAAGCTACTTAAACAACAAATCTGAACTAACTAAAGCAAAATATAGATCGCAAAATTATCCAAAGGCAAGCTAGAAGCTTAAAGAAGAAAATGACTTCCCTTAGCAAAAAGTGGTACGCAGTTATCCATATACTAATTTAATCGATCACCAGGATCAAGTATAGAGGTATTCACTGATAAAACTACACATTCTCACTCCCGACTCGTCACATCTTGACGCTTTTCCAAAGTTCCCTCTGCGTCTTATTTTGACGCATCAGGTGACCCCCCTCTCGTCAGTCCTTGCCGCCCGCGG